TAGTGAGCGAACACGATTTGACACCGCCATGTTTGGCAATTTTTCTTTTTTTTTTTTGCCTTAGCAAAATGACTCCAAAATTGAGAGGGCAGCCAGTAGGTTTTCGGGGTCAAAACTGCAGCCAGTAGGGTTTCGGGGTCAAAACTGCAGCCAGTAGGGTTTTGGGGTCAAAATTGCAGCAAGTAGGGTTTCGGGGTCAAAACTGCAGCCAGTAAGATCTTGGGGTTTCTTAAGGTTACAAATAAGGGGACGGCGGGAGTAGGGGTTGGGACGCTTTTGCAGCCAATAGGGTTTCAGGGTCAAAATTGCAGCCACTGAGGTCTTGGGGTTGTTCAAGCTACAAATAAGGGGAGTCCGACATCAAAGGCAGGGGTAGGGGGTCTTTATGAGCCACTAGGGTTTCGAGGTCATAACTGCAGCCAATAAGGTTTTGGGGTCGCTTAAGGTTACACATAAGAGGAAAGTGGGAGGGCAGCGGTTGGGGCCCTTTTTGCAAGTAGTAGGGTTTCGAGGTTAAAACTGCAAATAGTGAGGTTTCGGGGTCGCTTAAGGTTACAAATAAGAGGTAGGCGGGAGCAGGGGTAGGGGGAGTTTTTGCACCTTGTAGGGTTTCGTCGAAACTGCAGCCAATAAGGTTTCAACGTCGCTTAAGCTTACAAATAAGAGGAAGGCGGGCGCAAGCGTAGGGAGACTTTTTCCAACCAGTAGGGTTTCGGGGTTAAAACTGCAGCCAGTAAGGTTTCGGGTTTGCTTAAGGTTACAAATAAGAACTTCAAGAGGGTGGGAGCAGGGTTAGGGGGCTTTTTTGCAGCCAGTAGGGTTTCGGTGTGAAAACTGCAATCAGTAAGGTTTTGGGGTGGCTTTAGGTTAGAAATAAGGGGAAGGCAGGAGCAGGGGTGGGGAGCCTTTTTGCAGCGAGTAGGGTTTCGGCGTCAAAACTGCAGTCAGTAAGGTTTTGGGGTCCCTTAAAGTTACAAGTAAGACGAAGGCGGAAGGACATGGGTTGGGGATCTTTTTGCAGCTAGTACGGTTCAGAGTTAAGAGTGCAGCCAGTGAGTTTTCGGGGTCGCTTAAGGTTACAAATAAGAGGAACTTCAAGGCAGGAACACGGGCAGGAAGAGGTCTTACAGCTTGTAGGGTTTCGGGGTCAAAACTGCAACCAGTAAGGTTTGGGGGTCGCTTAAGGTTGCAACTACGAATAAGGCGGGAGCGCGGGTATGAGACCTTTTTGCAGCCAGTAGGGTTTTGAGGTCAAAACTGCAGACAGTAAGGTTTCGGGTCGGTTATGATCAAAGATATGAAGGCGGCAGGATCAAGCCTAAGGGGCCTTCTTGCAGCCAGTAGAGTTTCGTGGTCAAAATTGCAACCAGTAAGGTTTTGGGTTACAAATAAGGAGACGGTGGGAGCAGGGGTAGGAAGACTTTTGCAGCCAGTTGGGTTTCGGGGTCAAAATTGCAGCCAGTTAGGTTTTGGGGTTGCTTAAGGTTACAAATAAGAAGAAGGCAGGAGCAGGGGTAGCGGCCCTTCTTGCCGCCAGTAGGGTTTCGGGTCAAAAACTGCAGCTAGTAAGGTTTCCGCCTCGCTCAAGGTTACAAATGAGAAGAAGCCGAGAGTAGGGGTAGAGGGCCTTTTTGCAGCCAATAGGGTTTCGGGTCAAAACTGCAGCTAGTGTGGTTTTGGGGTCGCTTAAATTACAAATAAGGGGACAGTGGGAGCAGGGGTAGGGGTGCTTTTGCAGCAAGTAAGGTTTCACGGTCAAAACTGCAGGCAATGAGGTTTTGGGGTCGCTTGAGGTTACAAATAGGACCAGGGGTCAACCCTCCGTAGAGGGAGCAATCAATGCCTCATGCTCATAGAAAACGCATTGGATTACCAGGCCGGTGGGCGTGGCTTATCCCAACTGGATGCAGTACACGATGTGAGGGATGCTGGACTCGGTTAGTACAAGCTTTCAAAAAGAAAGAAAAAAAAGGGGCAAGGGATTAAACATAATAAGGTTAAGAAGGCATGCCATGCTATTGGGTTTAGGGTTTTTACGTTTAGTTAATAGCTGGGAGTAAATTGCTAGAGTGACATGCTGGGGCTTAGGGTTTAAGCAGAGATTTCAGGAATTGAGTTCTAAGTACGTTTATGTGCGGGTCAATTGCTAGAGGGAGGGGTTTACATTTATTTGGGGTTAAATTGCTAGAGGGAGAGGTTTACATTTATTTGGGGTTAAATTGCTAGAGGGAGGGGTTTTGAATAATTGTGCGGGCTTGACCGACAGTTAATTCTTTCCTACAGACGAAATGAATGCTGCCAGGATTCCCTGGGCCTTAATGTGGGGAAGCGTATTGAAGATTTGATTTTTTTTTTTTTTTTTTTTTTTTTTTTTTGGACCTGCCAAATAAATAGGAACCGGACTACCGCTCTCCTGAATAAAAGCAGCCTCTTTATTTTGTTTTTACATAATAAATATAAATATAAATACATATTTTAACAAGCGGATAAGGAAAGGAAGAACAAGAGAAAGCAAAAAGGAACGAAATGAAAATAAAGGAAATCGGGATAAGAGGTTTGGCCCTTTGTGTTTTTGTTTTTGAGAGAGAACCGGTTGGGCATTTTCATTGTTTTCTTCGACCCTAACCAGAGTGACCTGAAGATGCCTGTGTCATCCTTCGCCATAAAAAAAATATATATGTTAGCTTGCCTAACAAGACATAAAATAAATCCTAAAGTACAACTAAAATAGAACATGAAATAAAACATAAAATAAAAAATTAAATAAAACATGAAATAAAAGATAAAAGTAAACATAAAAGTAAACATAAAAAAATAAAAATAAAACATACGATAAATCATAAATTGGCCAGCGATGCCTCCTTCGTCTGGAGTGTCCGCACACACATTTGTGAGGGACGCCAGATCTGTTCCCTGGCTTGTATAATAAAAGTTGGTTGGAAAAAAAAAAGGGGGAAAAAAAAGAAGCATGAAATAAAACATCAAACAAAACATAAGCATTAAATAAAACATAAAACATTTAAAATAAAACACAAAATAAAACACAAAACAAAACATAAAATAAAACATAACATAAAACATGAAATAAAACATAAGCATAAATAAAACATAAAATAAAACAGAAAACAAAACATAAAAAAACATAAAATACAACATAAAATGAGACATAAAATGAAACATAAAATACAAGGAAAAAAAAGGTCATTCCTTCTCTTTGTTTCTTTCTGTAGCCTGCTGATTCTGCTGCAGCTGGGGTGACATTTTCTTTACCATTGCCAACCAACCGCCTAACAACCACCTCCATCTCCTTCCCCCTTCTCACCCCCCTTCCCTCCCCCTGGGCCCACTCCCCCCTCTTTTTTTGAGTTCCACACTCCCAGAAAAAAGGAAAAGTTGAAAAAAGGTGGTTCCAACCGTCAGGTCAGGCGGCCAATCCTGTCTCTTATACACATCTAGATGTGTATAAGAGACAGCCCCTTCCCTCCCCCTGGGCCCACTCCCCCCTCTTTTTTTGAGTTCCACACTCCCAGAAAAAAGGAAAAGTTGAAAAAAGGTGGTTCCAACCGTCAGGTCAGGCGGCCAATAAGACACTAACCCCACCCCCGCGTCCGGGGGGACGCGTGGATGAGCGCATACATAAATAAAATAAGCTGCTTGTTTTGTTGTGGCGGCTGCGTTGACTCTTTTTKCCATAAGCACCATATTATAAAAGAGCAAATTCAATCTTGGAAATTCTGCTCTTCATGTGTTCGATGTTTTCGCGAAAGCCCATAAAACAGAAAAGACTATCGGCTCCACCCGAATAGAACGCCCGGTTATTATAGCCGTATTTGGTGCAATTATCAGCCCACATACAGCTATAATGACCGACCGTTCTATTCGCCGGGTGAAGACGGTAGTACAACCTTATAGATCGCGAAGGGACGCTGCTTTGGTATTTCACCCCGGGCAGGGTTCCACTAGCAAAGAGGATTGGATGAAGCTCCTGAATCTGGACGTGTTTTAAGCAGAGATGCAGAAAAGCAGTTCCCTCTCAATTTTCTGCACTTTTTCAAGAAACACGACCATATTCAGGCATTCAATCCAATCCTCTGTGCTAATGGGACCTCACCCCTGGTTTGCCTGCCTGTACGTGGCCATTACCTTTTCATCAGTAGAGATAATTTCGTTGAAGACCTTAAATTTAAACTGAAAAATGACAAAGAAATCAAATCCGAAAATTGCTTCCAAGAATTTCAACGATTTTCGCACCAGATCATGAAACCCCGGGGGGTGAGGTCCCACTAGCAAAGAGGATTGGATTGAACGCCTGAATCTGGCTGCATTTGTGGACAAGTGCAGAAAATCGAGATTGAACTCCTTTTCTGCATCTCTGCCTAAAACACGCCCAGATTCAGGAACTTAATCCAATCCCCGTTGCTAGTGGGACCATGCTCCGGCCGACAAATTTGACCTTTTTTTTTGGCCGAAAAGCACAAGCAAGTGATTACCGGAAATTCAAGCCTCAAAAAAAAAAAAAAAAAAAAAAATCAAGCCTCTTTGGAAAAAAGAAAAGAAAAGGATTTAAGCCCCATTGCCAAGATTCTTTCTGAGATCCATGCACATCAGACAAATTATGACGCTTACAAAATCCTGATTTCCAGAAAAAAAAAAAACAAAGGGCCAAAAGGGCCAAAAGTTCCAAAACCAAACACAGGGGGGGCAAATGGCTAGCACCCACCTTCATGCATCAGTTTAGACTACACTACGCAAAAAAAAAAGAAAAAAGAAGGGACAATCTATGATTCTCGAAGACCGCCCTCGGATCAGATGGCAGGAGTTCATTTGATGGTCCAAAAGAACGACCCCTGTTAAATCAACTTAAATGTAAAAAAAATAACAAAAAAAGACGTACAATGCAAAGCAAAGGTGTTGTTGCATTGACAAAGCCCTACTGCACTGGACCTTTTCTAATTCTTATTTTAGGGTTTATTTATTAATTTATTTCGACGTTACTCTTTAACTGTACTATTAATTTATTCGCGCACAGTGCACTGAAATTCTTGAAGAACTTGGAAAACGCATTATCCTAATAGTAGCATTATAGAACATAAGATCGCATTGTTCACCCAGTTGCTGAGTTATACTGCCCTGTGCACAGACCAGACTGACCTGATGGTCATTTCAGTCTAACGGACAGCTATCTCGCCATCCTAACAGCCTAAGTGACGGACTAGCAACCAGCCAGAGAGTTATGTCTGGCATTTACCTGCTAGCTTCGCAGCGATAGATAGATAGATAGATAGATAGATAGATAGATAGATAGATAGATAGATAGATAGAGATAGATAGATAGATAGATAGATAGAGAGAGAGAGAGAGAGAGAGAGAGAGAGAGAGAGAGAGAGNGAGAGAGAGAGAGAGAGAGAGAGAGAAAAAGAGAAGACAAATTATTCACTCCAGTTAACTCCAGTTAACTCCAGTTAACTCCAGTTAGCTCCACTTAACTCCACGAGTATATATAAGCCGTCAGGACATTATTTTCTGCTATCAGCAATCGTTACCTGCAGCTAACTGCTGCGTTCACAAACTGTTAACCACCGTTACCTACAGTTACCTGCTCTTACCAACTGCTGCCTACAGTCAGTCACCTCTCATTTATGGGCCTCTACCCCCAGTTACCCGCACCTATTACCTGTTACCAAACATTACGGTAACCTACATTCACCTGCTATTACCTTCTTTTTCCGTTTAAGGCCTTAGCCTTTATCACCCGTTGGCATTTTTACATTTGAAACTGTTACCCACCGTTACCTCCAGCTACCTGCTCTTACCAGCTGCTGCCTACAATCACCTCTCATTTACGGGCCTCTACCTCCAGTAACCCGCACCCACTAACTATTACGAAACGTTTCCTGCATTGACCTGCTATTACCTGCTTTCGCTGTTTAAGGTCTTTACCAACCATTATCAACTGCTCACCGTTACCTACAGTTACCTACTAACCACCGTTACCTACAGTTACCTGCTGTTACCTTCGGCTTACGGCCCCCTTACCGATGGTCGCCCCTGACGTTTGCCTGCCCTTACGTGTGGTTGAAGTCCATTTTTAACTCTTCCCGATACATTTACACGCCCCTTATCAACTGTTACCTCTCCATTTACCTGCGCACTCACCCCACCCTTTCCTACTGTTACCAACCGTTACGCCTTCAGTTACGTGCAGCTAACGGCTGTTAACTTCTGTTACCTGCAGTTAACTTCTGTTACCTGCGGTTAACTTCTGTTGCCTGCGGTTAACTTCTGTTGTCTGCAGTTTAGTCGCATATTCCACAAATCACAAGCTCTTTTTGTGCAGTAAAATTAGTAAAAAGTAATTCCTTAAATCTCGAGATGAATCATGGCCCCCCATGGAGAGTAACTTAAGGTGAAGCAAGCTGGAACAATAATAATAATACTTGATGAAAAGGGACAAAAAAAGCTGCAGATCAAACATGGCCTGGCGGGAAACGAGTGGTTTGCCAAAAAGGGATCATGGTAAAAATTAAATAAAGCCCTTTCTTTCTTCTGACAGTGTGTAATTTCTTGACTTCCGACCTCCCAACTAGTCCTAGCTAGTCCAAGCTCTCTTCATCGGGACAGACTCTGAGATCAAACATCCCGCCCCGACTAGGATCACAGGCTGGAGGTCAAACATAAGAGAACTTGAAGTCAAAGTCAACTACAGTGCTTGACTGCGGTCGTGCCTGTTGAGAAACCAAGCCAAACAAGTCGTTTGACTATGGTAACAACCACGGTGACCTAGGATGGGGTGACATCAGATACTAAACAAGTCACTGCTAACAACGAACACCGAATCGGTCAAACAAGTAGTTTGACTGTGTTCGTTGAGATTACCAGCTCAGTAAGCTTGCCGGGAGACAATTTGCTTTCACGACAATAAAGCGTCGTCTGTATGAGAAATTCCTACCCATCGCATCTACACCAATACGCTCCCGTTGAAAACCCCCTTTCCCTCCCTCCGGCCCTGTGTGTGTGTGTGTGTGTGTGTGTGTGTGTGTGTGTGTCTCTCTCTCTCTGTCTCTCCCTCTCTCTATTTCTGTGTCTGTTTGTCTGTCTGTCTCTCTCTCTCTCTCTCTGTCTCTGTCTCTGTCTCTGTCTCTGTCTGTCTCTCTCTCTCTCTCTCTCTCTCTTTCTGTCTCTCTCTTTCTGCTTCTCTCTCTCTCTCTCTCTCTCTCTCTCTCTCTCTCTCTCTCTCTCTCTCT